TGATACAGGCAGAAGTGGGCAAGTTCTTTTCCTCTTGATTAGAATGAAAATAAACTGAACTGTAAACCTGATCTTGAGCCAAAGATAATTATCTCATTACCTGCTGCTGCATACTTCAAAGAAGACAGGTGTCATCATTGGCAAAAAAGTTTACAGATTTTTTTTTTTTGTCTTTGTAGATCACAGTGGAATCCAGACCCTGCTTTGCATGAAGGACACGTTGTTTTGGCACAAGAACTGACTGTGCTCTTAAAACCTTTTTTTGCCCAGAATTCCAGAAACCTCGTCTTGTTCCTGCAAGATACAGTATGTAACATTAATTCCTTTTCTCTCACCAATGCCAAGTGCAAGCCTGTACCTAAATGAGATGCCATGGCTCTTTCTCACCAATCTACTCTCTCTCTTTTTCAGCTTAGCGTAGATGATTTCACATACATCAGTGAATCCTACGATAACAAGAATCCATTTCAAAATATTCAGGCAAGCATTTATCTCATTTATTTCTTTATATGCAGTATTTAAAATTTAAAAAGATGTAAGAAAGATGCAAACTAACAATAATTGGGACTGAATTGCAGTAGTTTTCCTATGTAAATTATTTATTGAGATTATTTCACTTTAAGCGGATGGGTTAAATGCAGTAGTGTTTTGTAGCTATTTTATTTCTGAAGATCAAGTTTTCAGAATTCGTTGTAACTGACAATATTGTTCCTAAACATGCTGCAATTTTGTATTGTTAAAAACAATTAAATAAAAAAGCTTCCAAATGGATACCCCAACATTCTGATTTGAAGGTATAGGAAGAAGTGAAGTTATAGGAATCAATTATTTATTCCTAATTTTCAGAATTTAATGTTTTATTTTCATAGAAATTGAATTTCTCCTAATTCATGCAGGGAGCTAAATATTTGAATGTATTAAATATATAACTAGATCCTGGATTGCTTTAATCTTAATGAAAAAAAAACTTGACTCAGGCATGGCATCTAAGATGGAGTCCTTCTGAGCTGCTCAGCAACTTCAACTTCACATTCAGGAGGTTTACAGATTTTGTGCACTTCACTTTTGGTTATACTTGGCAACAATTTATTGAACTGAAATGAGACAAAGGAAATGTTGACACATGGAAGTCATAAAAGCCTTTCCTGTGGGCAGAGCAGGGTGAACAGAGCTATTAGTAATGTAACTGGTATCAGAACACACAAGGAAGTGTAAAATCCCAAGCACCGCACAGCAAGCTGTATGTCTAATTAAATATGTACATATTCATATAATACCTGTCTCTACATCTGTATCATCTAAGAACCTCACATCTTTTTGTCACTGGTACTGAAGTTCTTAATCTCTTTCCCATATAACAGCATTTTAACAATGACTCTGGAACAAATACAACTATTCTGACAATGTACCTAGGGCTTCTGATGAATGAATGGGAGAAATAATCGGTAGTGTAAGGATCAGGGGTTGTGCCCACAGGCAAGTGTACTGGTACTTCTCTGGTATGCCTTCTCTGGGTTAAAAATCTATGCAAGGCTGAGTCTGGTGCAAATTTTTTTGCTGTCTGCAAAGCTGATTTGACTTTAGAAGCTCTGTGAAATGATGGTCTTATAGCCCTAGATGTTTAAGAGGGATATTAAAGCATCTCGGACTTCTTTTGACTGGTTAGCAGGCCACCATCAGCACTGTAGGTAGGACTTGTACCCAAAGGCTAGAGATGAATCTAGAGACTGATGTGTTTAGGAATTGGGTGGTGTACTGAGTGGATTGGGGACCTACCAAGGGTAGTGAGGAAGTCCTCAGCTAAACAACAGGTCAAGTTTAAGTCAGTCTTTGGCCTGTATCTGACTGAGCAAAGATTCAAACCTGGATTTCCAGCAAGCTGAATAATGTCAGTAACAGTGTGTTTGCTTTCTGACCTTGCTTCTGTTCCCTTTTTGTTTTGGAGCTGAGAAATTTTTCTCGTTACAGCTTCTTTAAAACTGAAAAGTTTCTTTTGACAAATTGCTCACCTTAATTCCAGTACTTCCTAGATTTTTCCTGCTGGACTTGGCAACCTTATTATTTTTTCTAGTATGATTTCGTGTAGGTTAGTTTCAGTAACTCATGTGAAAGAAAATGAGATGGCTAAATAGCTGTTTTTCACTTATGTGTGCAAATGGAGAATTTTGTTAATGTCTGTTGCATTCACTTGTAGCTTTTAAGGCCAGGAACAATCTTTATAATTATTCAGTTCCATCCTGTATGTAATAGAGGCTACAAATATTTTCTCAGTTGCTACTGCATCAGTTGCACTCCACTTGAACTATTTTGGAACAAAAATTCATTCTTAATCATGCTATGAAAGACTGTATCATAATAATCAGAGAACAGAGGACGAAGTGAAGGTCAGGTCTGAATTTTTTCATTGGGGAAATTAGAATATTCGATGTTACATACCTTCACACTCTATATTATAAAAGTGATTCACTAAGCTATAATCAATATTACATGTCACTCAAGTATCTTCTTTTGAGCTTCAGAAGTGCAAATATACTCAAAAACCTAAACTGGAGATACCATTTAGAATGTCTATGTGCATGCAGCAACATGTTTGTTACAAGAAGCAAGTGTTATTTGTAAAAGAGTTATAGGCTTGTAAAACACAGGGACATTTGCAGATACTAGATTTCTTCAGCTACTTTAGCAGCTGTTTTGAGCTTTTTGGGATCAAAGTGTATGCGATAAGAGAATTCTATTTCCACTTAATACAAAAGGAATCTTATAGGTAGATTATTTATTTTAAACTTTCAAAAAACTCAGCCACTGAGTGAACATTTTCAAAGAGCTATTGTGCTTCTTAAGGTTTCATTACTGAAGGGTAACAGTCAGTTCTGAGTCTATTATGTATTGTTGTGTACATAAAATTAGTGTTGTTCGTTTTTTTTTCCTTACCCCATGCTCTGCTGAAATAAATTTAACTGATGAATCTCATCAGTTACTTCGTTGTCCAAGAGGTTGTACCAGAAGTTGCTTCTGCAATTCATCAGCCCAAGTTTGCCTTTGCTGTCTTGAATAATTCATCATAATTAACAGATGAGGTTAATATTTATGCCTTTTTATCAGATAATTTATGAACATCTGGAACAGAACAGACCTTAGTGCAAGAACAGATACTTTTTTCTAACCCTTGCTTGCTATCTCTTTACCTGCTCTTCACCTGTCCTTTAGCTGCCTCCCTTTGAAGACTGTCTCTCTCATGCTAAAGCAGCTTGATTTTTTTTCAAGTGTTCCCTTCAAGACTCTGCTGAGTCTCTTTTGTGGATCCAGGTACAGTGTATTAGCTGGAGCTCCTTGGTGAACGTTCCTATTGACTCTGTGAGAGATTTTCAGCAGAATTATGAGGCACAACTTCTTTTTGCAAAAGCCATGTCAGCTTTTGTCCAGTATAATCCTTCCTTGTTGTTGTAGTCTGTATTTTACTCATTGAAATAGTTCATTCCGTTCTCAGGCTTCAGATTTGCTTCTCCATAGTTCCTTGGATCTGCCTGTGACCCCTGAAAGAAAATCTGCTGTCATACTTGCCATCATACAGTACAGTGGTATGGAGGTTTGTTCAATGATACTTTTGTAGCTGCAACATATTTTATCAGAGCAATTGTCTTTAAAATAATAATATTTAGCTTTATGCATACATTTGGATAACCCAGTTACAGTGTTAAAGTCTGTAAGATTAACAGTAACTGGAAAGTTACAATGCAACAATTACATTATTTATTTTTTTTTGCCCTTGTCACTGCATGTAGAAACAGATGTGTTTCCTCCCAAACTGAACAGATTTTTCTTTGTTATGGATAGCCCATTGATCAATGCTGTAGAAAATAAATACAGTAGTTTACTATTTTAAATTATATATTCTCAGGCAAAATATGAAGATTCAAAACATCCCTTTTATGTGTAAGACTCTGCATACTTCGAATAAAAAGCCCGAGCGTCCACCTCTCCCAGAGGAACGGCCGCTGAGGGTTCGTTTCTAAGAGGGTAGATTAAAGTACCCTCCCACCACGCTCACAAATTATTACTGAGACCAATGTTTAGTTTGCAATTAATCAATTTATTAAGGGACAATACAAACTAAGGGATCAAGGTTCAGGAGAGGTTAACTAGGTATGTATATTGGGAAAGGGATTCAAAGGCACTAAGGTTTATGAAGGCACACTCCGAAGGAGAGGTGTAAATCAATGAAGTGAAAGGGTAGGAGTTGAGCCTAGTAAGAAAGTTAAAGTGTGTGTGTGTGTGTGTGTGTA